TTTTTGGTTTTTCTCCGGTACCGGGAACCTAACTCACGACCTTGCGCTTGCCAGGCAGGCGCTTTTACCACTGAGCTAAATCCCCAGCCCCAAGAGTGGACTTCTGACACAGGCTGTCAGTAACATGGTCAAACCTTGAAAACATGTGCTAAATGAACTAAGCTAAACATAAAAGGTCATATATGACTCCAAATAGGCAAATTTGTAGAAAATACAATTGAGGTGACCAGCATTTGGGATAAAGGGAAGTGGAAGTTACTAGTTAGAGTTTCTATTTGAGATAATAAAATAGTTCTGGAGAGCAGTGATGGTTATAGAACACTATGAATGCATTTAATGTCACCAAGCTGTATACTACTTTAAAATGGGTAAAGTGGGGGCTGGGGATTTAGCTCAGTGGCACAGTGCCTGCCTGGCAAGTGCAACACTGTGAGTTCGATTCCCAGTACCGGAAAAAAACAATAAAAATTAAAATTAAAATTAAAAAAAATAAAATGGGCAAAATGGTAAATTTTGTTCTGTATATTTTACCACAATAAAAAAAAGGCAATATCAACTCTTTAAGTAACATGGAAAAGTACGAATGACATAATGTTATTTACAATATGCAAAAATATAGCCTTGTGTGGAGTTCTCTACAGTGGGAAATTTTTGGCACTGAAAAAATAGGTGTTCCAGTGACATGCATGAGAGTGTTTTCCTTTTTTCTTTTCCTTTATTTGAGACAAAGTCTCATTATGTCACTTAAGTTGGTCTTAAACTCCTGGGCTTGAGCAGTCTTCCTGCCTTAGCATCCCAAGTGCAGGGACTACAAGTAACACCATACCTGGCAGTGTTTTCTTCCCAAAATGCTCTCCAGTGTTTCTGAAAGAAAACATATTCTAAATCAACAACATGAATCCTCTTTTCCTAAGTGGCGGAGACTACAGAAGTCTCTTTTTTGTGTAGTTCTGTTTCTTTAAAAAGAATATGCACTCCCTTTGATTTAAGAAAAGAGGTTTCTTTAATTAGACAGAAATACGACTTCACCATGCGGAAATAGGGTGAACAGTCAGGAGGGTACCAGAGGACATGCACACCAGGACTCTGCCCTCACGGATGCTTCTCCACTATCACGGGGAGAAGCCTTTCCGCAGATGGATCCTCTGGTGCTGACACATGTTGGAACTGTGCCGGAAGGCCTTCCCACATTCACTGCACTTGTAGGGCTTTTCTCCTGTATGGATTCTCCGGTGTTGAACTAGGTAAGTGCTTTGGCTGAAGGCTTTCTTGCAATCACTACACTTGTAGGGCTTCTCTCCATGGTGTGAGCGCTGGTGGTGAATGAGCCTAGAGCTGTTGTGGAAAGCCTTCCCACACTCACTGCACTTGTAGGGCTTCTCTCCTGTGTGGATCCGCTGGTGCTGGATGAGGTGTGTACTTTGGCTGAAGACTTTGCCACAGTCATGACACTCATAGGGCTTCTCTCCAGTGTGGCTTCTCTGATGTTCAACAAGTTTGGTTTTCTGGATGAAGGCTTTCTCACACTCATTACATTTGTAGGGTTTTTCTCCAGTGTGAATTCTCTGATGTTGGATAAGGTTGGAACTCTGGGTAAAGCCTTTGCCACATTCTTTACACTCAAATGGCTTCTCTCCAGTATGAGTCCGTCGATGTCGAATAAGGATAGAACCATCACTGAAGGCTTTTCCACAGTCATTACATTTGTAGGGTTTCTCTCCAGTGTGTATTCTCTGGTGATAAATGAGAGAAGAGTAGGCACTGAAGTGTTTACCACACTCAGCGCACTTATACGGCTTCTCTCCAGTGTGAATCCTTTGATGCTTCATGAGGTTGGGCCTCTGATTGAATGTCTTCCCACACTCCCCACACCGATAGGGAATCTCACCAGAATGCATCCTTCGGTGGTTGATGAACTCACAGCTCTGGCTGAAGGCTTTCCCACACTCACTACACTTGTAGGGCTTTTCTTCACTGTGAAGCCGCTGGTGTTTGATAAGGTTGGCACTATACCTGAATGTCTTCCCACAGTGGCCACAATAATGCAATCTTTTCCCAGTAAGAATTTTCTGATCTTCCTTAACAACTAAGTTTGCCTTGAAGAACTCCCCAGAATTATGAATGGTATTTGGTTTTTTTGACCTATGCACACGCTTATGGTTGTTAAGATATGATCTCTGCTCAAAACTTTGCTCACATGTATCACATTTATGAGGCCTCTGATCAGGGAAAAGGCCTAACCCCAAGGTGAGGCTTCCCCCAGTGTCCTGGCTGCTCTCCTCATTGGCCAGGGTGCTTGGGCTAGGGCCTGTCTGCCACACTGGCTTGTCCAAGCTCCTGTTTGGCTCCTTGACACAGCCATGGTCTTCTTCTGGCTCCACTTCCTGGTGAACAGTCCCCCTTGGCTGGTGCAGTTCTCGTCTACCAAATGTCTCCTCTGAAGCCATCTCTGTGTGCTCAGTCCTGGTCCCATGAGCTGAAACAAACCAAACACAAGAGTCACCTGTTCTGACCCTGGAGGAAGACATGAAGATGCTGATGATCCCAGGGGACACCAGGTCAATCATTTCCAAAGTCACAACAGCCCCACAGAAATGCACCCTGGAGCTCAGATGCTTAAGACCTTGCCCAGGGCCATAGTCATGTGGCAGTGCGAGCCCTTATCCTGAGTGAGACTGTAGGACACCTGTCCCTAAGAAGACAAAGCCTTCACAGCATCACAGAAACCAGAGCAAGGAGGGAAAGGCATAGACAACAACCAAAAGAGACACTAAGGCCAAGTGAGTCTGAGGCCATCCGAAAATCAATGGCAGGAAAATCAGCTGCCTCCCTGGGAGGTCAGAGGGCCAAGCTTGTGCCAATCTGCAGAAGGAAGGCACAGCACATGTAGGCCAGGACCTGTGACTCTCCTCAGTGGTACACATCCACTGCTGAGGCTTTCCCTGGAGGCCTGAGGCACCTTGAGACACCTATGAGGAAGGCTCTTTGATGTCTTCAAACCTCTACCCTTCCTCCTTTCCCAATACACTCTGAGCTCTCCTAGTGCACTCCCCAACAGAGGATATGGAGAAGCACCCACACAGCATCCTGCTAGAAGGCCCCTCAGAGACTGCAGCTAGTAATGCCTAGCTCTGGCTGCCACCTCCTAGGTGAATGATGTGAAGCAACTTACTCACCCTTCTGAGCCTCAGTGTCCCCATCTAAAAAGCAGGATATGCCAGGAGCTACCACACAGCACTCTCACAAGAATTAACATGGAGTTAAATAACAGACTGACCACCAAACCTTCAGCCCAAAGGCCAATACAGTGAGTCTCACATGCAAATGGCTTGTGATAGCCACTTTCATCACCCTTTCTCAAGCCTTAGCGATTGCCTTCCACACCTGCCCAGCACCCCACCCCCACTGCATATCCACAGCTGCTCATATGTGTCTGTAAGGCTGCAACCAGTGGGGTCACCCACTGCTGCAGGAACGCACACAAGCTGCTACTTTGAAGGATAGCTTGGCAGCATTGCCTAAAGCTGATCTGTGCATATCCTGTAACCCAGAAACTCCACTCCCAGGTATACATTCATGAGAAACACAGTCCTTATGTGCCTTACATAAATATGCACAAAACTCCCAAACTGGGGACAACCTCATGTCCTCTCCAAGTAAAAGGGAAAATAAATTCTAGCACAGTCGTATGATAGAATACTGGCAATAGAACAGACCCAACTGCTGCTATATGAAACACGAGTACCTCTCACAAGGCTCAGCAGAAAATCCTCTGCATGAATCCAGACAAACAAACAGAAATAGCAAAGCAGCCTCTTGTGACCTATGTAGGGAGCAATGAAAAATGACATAGGCCCAAAGGCTCTAGGACCTGGACATGGTCTGTATTTTGACCCGGAGGAGAGTTTTTCATAAAAACTCACTGAGGGTTTGTTTCATTTCTGTAAGTATATTCAGATAGCAAATCTGGCTATTGTGGCTTTTCTTCATGATAGCCTGGCCCTACTTTCTCCAGGGTGTTCTTTTATCTTGAGTTTTTCTCTTTTTACTCAGCCCAACCTTGCTCTGCAGAGCCAGGTTCTCCCTCCCTCTTCACTTTTACTTTCTCAAATAAACTTTGCCACTGTTTTGTTTTTGTTTTTGTTTTTGTTTTTGTTTTACTCAAAGGAAAAATGAAGCAAATTTATAAAAGGAAAACAAATTCTTTGAGCCAGCAGCTCCTTCCTGGGACAACAGACACATGCAAAAGCATGATCATTGCAGTTATCCATGGCAGCCAAAGAAGATGGGACCTCCTGGTTGGCATTTCCTCAGAAAGCCTGACCAATGCTCAAGTGCACAGAAGTAGAAACACATTCAGTGGCACACCAGGTCACATGGGTCTTTACTATTAAGAAGCAGAGGGGCTGGGGATTTAGCTCAGCGGCAAAAGCGCCTGCCTGGCAAGCGCAAGGTCGTGAGTTTGGTTCCCTGCACCGGAGAAAAACAAAAACAAAACAAAAAAACAAAAACAAAACAACAAAAAAAAAGAAGCAGTCCACATCTGGGCGTGGTGGTGCATGCCTGTAATCCCAGCACTTGGGGGGCTGAGGCAGGAGGATCGTTGTGAGTTCGAGGCCAGCCTGGGCTACAAAGTGAGTTCAAGGCC